ATAATTACGAGCTCTAATAACGACAATCCAACGAATTTTAGTAAATTTTAACGCAGGATTCTAAACCTATGGCTTTAACATATTTTTTCATTGGATTCGGTAAGTGCCAACTATTAGGCGCCAAACAGAGCATTAATGAAAATTATCTCCTGGCCAAAATAGAACCAATCATGTTATGCAGTAAAATACATTAGGACGACACATCTCGTATACAAAATTCACACGTTATTTTTGGACTGCAGTTCATGTATGCTTCTAGCACAAGGTAAAAGTTTTTGTTTTATCTCAACTGTACTAGCTACATGTGCCGATTACGCGGTAAAGTTTTGAAGCAGACGACGAATCCTCAGTTGGTTCCCTCTCCTCTTTTAACCAACACAACTATCCTCCTTCGAAGTTCACGTTGAGCGCAACTTTTCTGTGTGTATTGGTATCATCGGATTATCTTCAGCCATTCTTCAGCCGAACTTATTTTGAACCGAGCAGTACGTTCAGGTAAGTTTCCTATTTGATACCACCAAACCTACGGAATCTTTTCGTGTTATTCGTGCGCGTTAGCATCATTCGGTAAGCAGGGTTTCTCCTAGTGTTGTAGTAAGAGTGGCTCTTGAAGCCATCTGATTTTCAAGCGCCAACTTTGATTCGGGGGGGATACACGCTTGCGCGCCCGATTACAGATGCTAGGTGGATCATCTGCTTGGTTAGTCAACTGGTGTGATATTTCGAGACGTGCGATTTGCTCGCTTGCCGATACTTTATCGTAGAAGCTTTCGTGAACAAACTGCGACAGTTGTTGCTCCTCTAGTTCGGGTATACATCAGTGAAGCAACTCGGCCGGCGATACACTTTGTGAAAGCATAATATAGAACATGCTTCGATATCGCTCGGAAATAGCACAAATACTATGTTCATAACAACAACTGCTGTCAGCTGGTTAACGCTGACCGCATCAGGTGATAGGGCAATAGCGGGCTATGATATATTCGCTAAACGCCAAATAACATAAATTACGTTGTTGATTCCATAGTTGCGACGAGAATATCAAAATGTACAGCAATAAAAGTTGTTTTACATGCCTCATTATACCGGGCATCGTGTGGCATTAACGAAAATATTAATCGAAAGTTTGTTCGCGAATTTTCGTTGGGTGCTAGAATGAAACGTATTCATGAGTGCGTAGTTACAAAGTTGACGTGTTGCGGTCTCAGAAAGAGTAAAAAAGAATAATCACATATGGAATGCACGTCACGTGCAATACCCGTCGTCATACGAATGAACTGCTCGTTCACGGCACAAAATGTACACTGTAGGTTAATCAATACAATATATCTCTAATGTTTGTTGTTGAACCTATCCTTATTCGAAGTTTAGTCTTATTCGAATAAAACAATGTCAGCTGCGACCATACGCAGTTGCTCACGGCAGTGTCAGCTGAATTCGAGTGGGATCCGTAGCAAAAATAAGCTAAATACAATTATGATGATGTTCCGCAGGCTAGCCATTGAACTGACAGTCACAGAATGAGGTACTTAGCTAAAGCCAAAACGACGTTTGCTAACGTCTGTGCGCAAAACTACACTTCCGTGGCTCGTATATTCGTTGTCACCTCGTTTGATTTCTGATTTTTATTGATACGTCCTGTTAGCGCGCGAAACAATCATTATCATAATAATAAATAATTTGATTTGGCAGAGATCAAAACTCTTGAGCTGTATATCAAATACATTACTGCACTAAGTTCATGCAGCGTATTGTACATACCACAATAAGGAGTGAGGATCTACAGGAGGTTCTGGATGATTTGAAGATCAGTAAAACGATTCAAGGAGACGGGGTGCAGTGAGCTTTTAAATTAAAAAAAAAACTTAAAATAATAAAGATCGGTATCGCCAAATCGTTTTGCTGTGTCAATTTTATTAAATTTCTGCCAAATCAATTGTCTTTAATGTTCAGCAAAAGACTGCAATATGAACTACAGGAATTTTGTACTCATGAATAGCTAACCGTGTGTAAACTCAAGTTTCTTCTCGCGATGAATTTTCTCAGGAGAATTTTTTGTCATGGAGGAAGCTATGCTGGCGTCATCTTGTGACGGGAAAAATGAGGCTTCGTACGTTGTGATCTATGCTGACGAAGCCACGGAATCTTCAGAACAGCATCATCATCATCATCATCCTGTCGCACAGAACGAAACTGTTTCCACTTCTGCGGCAAGCGGGGCTGGGAGACGAAGGAAGGCGATACCTTCTCGAACGCCCTCGGCGGAAAGAGAATTGTTCGTGGGTGGGCTCATCGCCAAAAAGGGACGGGGCCGTGCTACAGTAAACAATATTCCGGCTGGAGCAACAACACTTGAGGATCGAAACGAGTTTCAGGAATGCCCATATTGCGGCTGTCGGTACAAGGGCAAGAGCTCATTCACTACTCACCTACGTAAAAAGCATCCAGACAAGCATAGAGAGCTTGTCTGTTACGTGTGCAATTCAACGGTTCGTATCGTCTTCTAGCTCTCAATAGCCGGATGGATAAGGGATATCGCAAATAAAATCAATTAGAGAAGGTTGTTGCAATGGAGGTATCATGTTCGTTAAGGATATGTATGTTTCACTGATACATAAAATTGAAGTTTTTGGTCAGTAATTAACTAGAATATTTTTTCCAGGAGAAGCGACGTTTGCTTTGAGCGATGTTGCTGTATAGTATAGCCTTTGTTTTTTGTTTAATGAAGTTTAACATTTTTTAATAGCACACATTTAATGGAAACGTCGATTTTTTTCTTTATATTATGTATAGGTTGATGAGATGGCATTTACCCGGCATTTTCGAATACATCAGGCTCAAGATGCCCGCCAGTCGCAAGGTGAGACACGGCTTCTCCAATGTGACTTCTGTGAGTTTCGCTGTCATCTGAACGTGGACCTGATTCAACACATGGGGTTGGAACATGACGGAAATAATGCATTTAGCATTGCTCGTACCGAGGCACAATTTCTTATGAAAAATCGGCGACATCGGAATCATCAAAGCGGTACGGGAGGTACTTTGGCAAAGCATACACGTATGATGAGTTTCAGTGTGGAGGATTACCATGAGGGAAGCACACTTGATGTTGCTCATAGGGTAATGGGGCGAACTCGTAGTTCGGACAATGACTCTGAGAGCACACTGAGCGGTGTTGAGGCTCCGGATATGACGGGAATGATACTCGAGGTCGAAACGCACGACGTCTTAATTGAAACGGGACCACGGCTGGTTGCAGCCCACGAAGATCATCATGCCGTAGTCGAAACGTCGGACAGTTTCAATGATATGGGCCATATATCCGACGATCTACTGTCATGCCTGAAACGTGGTCAGAATGAGCTGCTTTCGCAAGGTTTTACCCATGTGCAGCTGCATCATCTCAACATCTCAGCGTATGAACGTTCGTGGATCAAGTTGCTGGTCGCACAGGCGTCCTCTGCATCAGCCGGCCGACTCGTTAGGATACCAATTGATCGGGCGTCGCTAGCGCCGACGGACGATCAGCTCACGAATTTCGTCATCGAGAATGAGGTGCCAGTGTCGCTTCGGAAGCTTTTCGAAGCCGATGCATGGCATCACCTTCAGGAGCAGGTATTAATGAAACGGGATCGCTTCACATGCTGTGTATGCCGAGGCGCACAGAATCTCAAAGTGTCCGAATGTGGCAGTTGTGGTCGGCGCTATCATCAGAGTTGTGGAGCTCAAGTAGCCACCCAGGCCGACTACAGTTGTGCGGCTTGTCTTCATTAACCATCGACTCTATACCTGTGCACGAAGATTGCCAGCGGTACCGCAATAGCTGTCGCTGTACACGATACAATTTTCATCTATATACATTGCTGTTGTGTTATCAAAAAGCCAGACTAGGTATGTTAGAACAGAAAAATTACACTTATGCTTGTTGTAAAGGGATTCATTTTTCAATATTATTTTTTTTTAATTCCGGTACAGGAAATACGAATTAAGTTGTTGGCCAGAAGTAAACGTATGAAGCAGATCCATTGAGGCAATCTGGTCCTTGTTCGAAATTTGATGGTCTTCAATTTTTTTGATTGTCACTAGTAGTGGCCAAGTTAAGCTACAACACTTACCATGTCCCGAAGTCTAGCTTTCGATTTGGACACCTTATGGAGCATGACGTTTACAACAATCTCTTTCTGTTTTAGGGAATAGACCGAACTTGTTGAATATATATCGTTAACTGTTCCCATAGACAGGTTTATTCGCTTTCGGGAACAATATTTTTCTTGACCAAACAAATCTCATTTACAATATTAACCTATTCATTCACAAAACAGCCCATTCATTACTGATTTTAGTTCTGTTCATGAATACGAGTGCCGTATTCCCCTGGTTGACTTTAAAATTCATGTCAATGCGTTTAGGTTGGGGTCAGTTTTGCCGAGTATTTTGGGTTGATTCTAGAGGGACGTAGAATAACATAGTTCCTTTAACGAGGAGTATTTCATCATGTGCGACATAAGCAATATTATTTGGGAGAAGGTTGAAGGATAAACTTAGGTTTAATTTCATTTTCGTACTGTTGAGCTTCGATTAAAAACAAATAACCTCATATCATAAATTACTATAAAGCTGTATTGGCAATAGTTCACTGTCGGGTGCTTTCTTCGCCGTTTTGTCACACACGTAGTTAAACAAATGCATGCTACCATCCACAGGTTAAACGCAATCACTACAATGACAAGGTTCACAGAAGCATACTCATATTAGAATTCCGTAGCGAAATGTAAAATAATGTTAAAGATAAAGTGTCACGTTTACCACCAAAGGAAACGAACAGAGGATCATAATGCATTTATGTACAATATTTCGATGCTATCACGAGCACTTGTATTCAAAGTGGCTGATTGGCGAGTTTTATCAGCAAAGGAAAAACAAGAGCAGTGTTAGTGAAGTTACAGACAGCAGTGGTTTTGAGGCGGTCACCGTTGTCGATTCGACTAAGTTGAGTAGTTTCAGCGCTTTCGGCAGACGAATCGACAACTGATATCACTCTGGGGTCGCGAGTAGCAGTTCATGTTTTGTACAAGGTCTGCCGACTAGAGTGACTGTGCAGAAGTGAGTATAAATGCGTTGACATGACAGAACATGGGAGGCGCATTCTAATTAACCGTCCAGGCATTACAAGACTGCTGGGGTGCATATATTGTGTATTCGGCTATGCTTAAACACGCTTAATAAGTCATGGTAGACTGTTAGCAAACTTTACGAGGTATTATCAAGTTTCGTCAAAGGAATTAGTTGATACAAGCAATTCATGAGAAAAATATTAGCCAATTTTATCACTCTGAGAACAAGATATAAAGAGCACAAACACGCCTCACATTCTGTCTAACACATCGATAGTAATAGATGCGTTGTATAATTCGAGAATTTTTTAAGAAACCGCTTTGCTACTGTTACGCTCTGTTCGGCCCGCTAAGCGATCAGGTTAACACACTGCTTTATGGAGTGAAGCCAGTCAGTTAAAGTATTCATTTCGTTATTGTTAGGAATTGGAGTCTTTGTTTGTAGCTCTAAAGCCAATTATGCTTGTCATTCTGCTTATATTGTCGAAGAATAGGGAGTGCAATTGTATTGTTAAATCGTTGCCAATTAGGGAAGTACATGTATAAAATATAATGCGAAAGGTATCACAAGCGATCTAGAACCACACGTCGGGTATTATACAGAGTAAATTAGCCACTCGTGACACGATCAGTGTTTAAGATCACGTGGCGTTGCGGGGGCGGGAGGGGGTGTATGTACACAGTCTATTTATATAGCGGAGTGAGGCTATAGATATGTTATGAGACTAATATTGTCTAAGAAAGAAGTTTCCCAATTGCACAAATATAATTACTGCTAAAAAGGATACCATCAGTTGAGAGTATTGAGTCAGAGAAAACTATTGTTTAGGTTTTCTGCTGTATAGACGTTGATGTTTAGTTTTGCGGTTGACTAAAGCGAATAAAAAGGTGTAATAGTTTATATATTATAAACTACGAGAAACAGTGATGTTAGCACGAAGGATTTTATTTCGATTAAAGATATACCCAACAATTCAATACAATTACAAGCTATACCGCAGTGTAATCATCATCAATCGTCGTTGCGTGGACGATATTCATTTGTTGAAGTGTAAAAGATTACCATGTGTTGTCAAGACGAGCAGACCTAACCAGAACATCAGGGCATATGACAGAAATATGACATATCTGAAATGTGTATCTGTGGTAAACCATAATTTAGTAGTGGCTAGATTGCGAAGTTTCATACTAATTGAAGTTAAACACTCGCTGAAAATTGCGCTTAAAAATTAAGTCCATGACAGTACGGTTACAAACAAAGTGACAAACATTTAATGAATAAAATTTATTAGAACAAATGATGTGCGTACGTTGTTGTTTGTCTTTGTGTCGAAGGCGTTATGTAATAAGCAGCCCACTATCACTTCGTAGTTATGCATGCAAACACATGTGAGAAAACGTTCCCTAATATTAATCTTTCGTGTTATTGATCTCCAAGTATAAAAAACATTGTGACACTGTCGCCGACTTAATACGACATGAATTAAAATAAATCAACAACCATTTGGTAATTATTGAGTTTGACTAAAACTAAAGCTGCCATACAGGCTTTTCACAGATTAGAGAAACTTTCTGGTGGAACTGGCCGCATGAAGAAAAAGATACGGGCAAGTCTAATGCACTTGATACGTACATACACCTGTATTTGAGATGGAAACTGACTTAGTGTAGATACGTTGAAAAAAAGAAATCGAAAAGTGCGTAAGAAGCAAGAAGACGAAGCAAAATTGAGTTTTCGTGAATAGTGTGGGAGAAAAGCGAAGTTGGACAAAACTGAAAAATGCTAAAGAAGAAAAATCATGTTACAGGAAAAAGAAGAGTCATTTATTTTGATATGAAAGCAAATTACGTTAAGTATGACTCAGAAGTGAAAGAAGGCAAAGCATTAATAGGATAAGTGTATGTATATTTATGTGTATACTCGGGTGTACATATATATACCCATTTTATGCCTAAAATGCAGACACGGGAATATAGTACTGCCTAGTAGATCCGTTTGTAGAAACGACTTGTGTCGGTAAGATTCCGAACAAAACGTTGTGATTTAACGCAGGTTCAAAGCACTTAAGGGAACATAACACCTTATTTATTAACGTCATCATTACATACCTACTGGGTAATAAAGATTGAGCCTAAGGTAAAATCATTTCTATGTGAATCGGATTTTTAGTTTTCTTGATACGCGAAGTCTTGACTAAAAGTACTGATTTTTAAATTAATCGTATAGTCTTATATCAATAGACTTTAAACGCAGTTCAATCTTGTATTGGTGCATTTGAAAAGATCGTCAAAACAGTAGGAGCGTACGAGAGGGATTCAGAGTAGATTAACATGAAGCATATAAACAAACAACTATCCTCTCAACAAACCCGATTCTCACGTAGAATCCAGATTTTACGAGTTTGCGAGTTAACTACAAGGCAACACCCTTAGCCGCCGATGAAATATATGTATAATGCATCCCTGAAATGTAATTAAAAAAAAGTAGGTAAATAAAAAAAGGTACAAGCTATGAACCTGAGATGTTTAATAGTATGCAAAAGCCACTTGCGGCTGGCCTATCGATAAAATGGTGAAGTGAGAGACGCATATTTTAATTCCTTTCTGAAAACAGACTTAGAGGTTTCCCGAATTTATATATATATATATATATATTGGTGATGCGTTTATTCTTTATTCATTCTTAGGCTAGCTTTCTGTTTTACATCGACGTTGTGTTATACTTACCCGCGTATGGATTCTGGCTTGCACTTTCATTATGTGTATGCGTATATACTTTAACTTTATTATATATATATATATATATATATATATATATATATATATATATATATTACTTAAGGTGCCGTTGATCCAGTTTCTGCTAGACTTTTTCATTTTTTTTAATACATTTGATTGAAGGTACGTTAACTTTGCGCGTAGATGAACTATGTGAAGGTCTTTCTTCGGCATTTAACTCCTTTTTTTTTTTGTTCGGTAACTTTTCCATTCTAGCAGCGAACTTCTTGTACGGTGGCACCCCCACTACGAAGCTTCTATGGGTGTCGTCGAGATGTAAACATTTTACTATCAGTATGCTTCTCATGGAGTAGTTTTTCTCAGTCGTCTGGATGAGAGAAAGAAGTAACCACAAAAATTTATTTTCGGTAGAAATTGAAGCTTTTTGTTAAACCCTTACAGAGAAGTAGCAAGGAGCAAATGATTTGTTAACGATAAGCCGTCGTATTACTCACACTTCTAACAGACTTCTAGCAGCTCGAACTACTTGAAAGTTTGATCACTTGGTTATGGTACTTTCAGCAAATCTACAATAACTTTTTTTATCATATTTAGTGTTCGGTCTAAGTCTTGCTGAACTCGCAGCACTCTTCACTCGCATACTCCTACCAGATCTAGTTGCGGTGACTTTGAAACCAAATAGCGGACAAAATTCCCAAATGTAATATGCAACATAGAACAAAGCAGAAAATTAGCCCAAGACAGATGAATGCTCCAGTTGTTCGCCCATGAGTTGATGTGCATGCGGTACACTTACTGTCACTGTGTCATTGTGCTCTCCGCAAGCTCAAGGAATTACGTAAGTTGGATTCAAAGCAGGCGGGATATATTGTTAGCCACCAATGAGCGCATAACACATCATAGAGCCAACTTTTGCCGTGTGAGCTCGCTTGAACTTGTAGCGTGTCTTCGAGCTTAATTTGTGCAAGAATCAGGGTTGTGAACGTATGGAGACAGCAGAAAGTTACCATGGATGAGTTAGGCATACTAGATGATGGGTTACTTCTAGTTGATGGCGTAAATGAGTTCCTCGAAGAAAATCCTCGAAACTCTAGCCACGAAATGGTGGAAGTTCTTTCGACGACAGTTGAGAGCGCCTCAGAGTCGACGGACTCCGACGAAACAGTGAACAGTGTACAAAGTAACGAAATATGGAGTCGATGCGCGGGTAATGGAAATGCCACAAATGAAGTTGGTGAAGAAAGCCGAAAAAATCTTTACGAAGGAAAGTATCGGATCGAACGGGAAACGCTGTTATCAACGGACCGAGAGCGTGGATTTCTAACTGCAATATTTGGGTCGGCAAATCTTCATAAGCTCTGGTTTCCTATTAAGCCCGATCAGTTGCCTTCAACGGAAGACGCGCTGAGCAATTATCTTATAGAGAATCTTATACCGACCGAGTTGAACAGATTCTTTGCCCCCGCTGCGTGGTGCCAACTTAAAACTTTGGTAGAAAGGTTAGTCAGCTTTGAGTTCGCTGATGTTGGTCTCAATAATAGCAAGTTATGACTAAGAAAAAACGTTACTCCAGAGATTCTATGCAATATAAAGCGGAAAAAGAATTTTAATAGAAAGCTTAATTGTAAAGGGAAATATTATTTCGTTTGTAAAAGTTATGTTGTCTCTCGACGGTTTAGATTATTTGGGGCGCGAATTAGCATTACTGTTATATGTGTATGAATGGGACATTAGGAACATATTCACAAAGTAAAACTGTGACCTAATTTTTCATAGGCCGTTCGTCGTAGCCTCTGACCATTCTATCTTCCTAAAGAACCGAAGTAACAAAAAATTGCTTCATCAATTCCGAAAGTAAAATTTACTGCTAATAAAAGTTTCTTACGGCTATTGGCCATAAACATCAAAATCGAAAAATAGAGGATAACTTTATGACCTGATATGAAAAAACTGTGATGTATTTTGATTTTTCCCAGGTCAGAAGTTTAAAACCTGTACCAAGATAAAAAATTCTGCCTGATGCGTTTTTTTGTTGACGCCAAAAACGAGTGAGCGCAAGCTAATAGCATTCCTCTCATTCTCGAAAAGAATCGAATAAGGATAGTGCAAATTTCCAAAAAATTAATTAGAGATCCTATGATTTTTGAAATTATTCCCAGCTTTTCCGATAGAACAAAGAAATCGTCGTAATCAGTGGCATGTTGTGTCTAATAGGTGATATATTGCAATTATTTTAGTGATTTTTGCGTAATACATATAAAGTTATAGTCCGCTCAAAGAGGCTTTGGGTAGGCTAAGTGAGCTTAAAATAATTAGTATAATGATAATAGTGTACTGCAATAAAATGCATTATGGAGGCATCATAACACATTTAAATATACTGGGACATATGAAGGTATATGTCAAAACACTTCGAAGTCAAAACAGATCTGAAAATGTTGGAATTTAAGATGATCTGGAAGGAGCCGGAAGATACGAGTCTTAACTATTCGTAGTTCAAGTAACATTTTGTCAGATCAAATAACCTCGTGTAATTTATTTCTTTCTAATTTCAAGACGCTCATAAAATGACAATTACACTATGTTATCTTTTATGCCAAAACAAAATCTAGACCATGATTTGTTTGGTTCTGTTTCATGCCGTTCCCCTGATACAGAAAACGCCGAGCATGGACCTGCCGTCTGTGTTCGATCCCACGTAACCGCAACATGATGGAGTGTGAAGCATGCCATACCTGGTTTCACATGTGCTGCGTGCAAGCCGTGCGAACGTCGACCTACGTGAGCTTCGACTCATGGGTTTGCACTTATTGCATTGAAAGGATGAAAAAATGCATTGTCGTTTTGCATAAGCTTAGTGACTAGTAACGCTATGCAGCATTTGTTGTGGATATGCTATTTAGTTTCCATAGTAGGCTACAATAATGATCTCATTGCGATAGCTATCAGTCTGTATTAGATTTGAGCAAGCCCATTGATTTACGCTATGCATGATATGCCTGATTATTATTTACAATTGAAAGTTGCACAGAGATACAATATCGTTGAGCTAATTCTTCAGGGCACAGTCCCTAAAATCGGCTTATAGATATTGATTAGGAGGAACTTTAGCGAGAGGAAGTTGTCTCATTCATTTATTCTAACCAGACAGCTAATGGAAACAGGCCTAAGTGGGAACGATTTGTATTCTTTATCAGCATTCTCATTGTAGTCACTCTGTACAACCTTCTATATATTTTACAATTTTCAGGTCTCGTAGTGATATATGTTAGGTTATATTCTTTTTGAGGAATGCGAGCGAGGTAAATAGCTAAGTGAATCGCGACTTGTACATACTGTCGATGTTATAGTATGGCCACCAGTTATATATCTTATAATGTAACGAATTCGATAAGTACATCAGTTGTGTGTATAGCAGTAACTGTTTGAATACCCAGTTTCTTCGTACTTTCTTGACCATGCATCATTTGCCTTGTGATAATGAAATTATTTTGTTTATGATTGGATCGTACATACATTTCGAAATTGTTTTTCTTGTAAAACACACATTTGTATTGTCTAGATTGGATAACGTCAATTAGTACGGCATACATAAAGCAATTTATCGATTTGTTAAGTAGTGTTTATGAAAATTAAAGTAGTAGATTGGATGAAAACCGTAGAACAACGCCTCTATGAGATAAAATGACGTCCTTTAGGTGGTATATTTCCATAGAAAGCAACTCCTTATGCAAATAGTGGGTTTCTTTTTACCACTTTTGAGAAATGAAATACTGTGTGTGGCTTAAGCTATTTCGTATATAATGTGCAATTAAAAGAGGGCCTGCTTCGGTTACCCCCGAATACGAATATTAAATTGTCATCTAAAACTCAATGAGCACCTCTAGTAAATAAATGGACTGTCAAAACGATTGCCTCTTTCTCAGTATTCATATACGAGATGCAGGCGTATTGACGAGTTGTATACAAATATTTAGAATAGCTATTTTTCTACCAAGCCATCTATTATTCAATTATCAACTTTCGAATTTTGCTGTTGGAAGTATGTGCTCTGTGCGTGTCACACCGAGTTATGTCCGAAAATGCAATAATGTCCAACTAATGCAGCTAAAACAGGGCAAGGATAGCAAAATCGGCAATAGTGGTGCGTTCAATCGTCACCTATATTTTGTAGGCATAGAAATATACAAGAGTCTCGATTGCGATGTCAGGTGTGTTACACTTCGTAAATCTCTGGTTAGAATATTGAAGTTGTATCCTAATTTATACTGGTGTAATATAAATGATCACTGACTGGGGTAGAAAGAAAGTAAATGATCCAAATGCAAATACAGAAACTATTGTACCAACGATCTGGAATGATCTGTTGGTCGACTCCACATCGGGTTTTAGGCAGATTAATCTAGATTCAACTCTGTTTTATTGCTTGTAGTAGGGCGACCCGTGTTAAAAAAATCATTAAGCATGAATTATCTTGGGGACGGATAGAACTAGAAACATTGATATATGGAGCTGCAACGGAAACAGAGCGAATGCCTTATATCCTTAGCTATACATAACCTAGTCTCCAAAGCATTAGAAATATGGCTATGTTAATACAAACATAGACAGTTCGTATAGAAATGTATGAAACTGTGATTTAGTTAGTGACAAGCAAGAAGCCTTCATTGGAACTTCGAACTTACGTATGTATAGTACATACACAAAAAGATCGAATCTCTTACCAGTTTGTTACTTTCCAACAAAGTACTCCGCAATATTTTGTTGTCAACTGACACTGATGTGAAAACAAGAGATTTGAGTCAATTTGAGAAAGTCAATTAAAGTTTTTTTTTTATAGAGGAAGTTCCAGTTTAAATTGTATGTATATAT